TTTTATTTTATCCAGTGAACGTACGCTCCTCTATGTTCGGATCTAGGCAAAAAAAGCGCAATACCGAGTACCGAGTTGTACCGAGTTTTTTTAAAAAAACTCGGTATTGCGCTGTTTTGGTCTAAAACCGAACGTAGAGGAGCGTACGTTCACTGGATGTAATAAAAGTTCGAAAAATGTGGAGTACAATAAGACATTAACTTAACCTCGTCATCAATAAAGATTATTTTAACAATATAGCAGGGATTGTCAATTCTAATATGGAACGACCAGAATGAGATTTCTTTGTTTTTTTTTTCATGCTCTATTCATTGAGATTTTGGGTACCATTTTTTGGCAATTCATGGTGCATACTATATCTAATTAATCCACAAAAACTATCACTAAATATGCTATTCAGTATCATGCATGAAATAAATGAAAGTTCCTCCTTATAATTTAAATTAAACATCAACATTTAATAGATGTATTTACACATATGTCTTTATGTTTAAATATAATAGAAATATTTGCAAAATTAATAAAAATTCCTCCTTATAAGCAAAAATTGTTAACTCAACAATAAACATACTAGTTTTTGCACGCTGAAAATTTTGCGGCGGTAGAGTGAAAATACTTTGTCTTAGTTATATAAGAAATCTAATCACACAAACATATGATAAAAAAAACACTATGATTTATATGTGGAAAATTTTGAGAAAGGGAAAAACCACAGATTTTTCCTAGTTGAAACAATTGCACTAGTTTTTGAATGGATTACAAAAGTCAATCTATCCTCCAACCTGAGGACGAAGATAATACAATGTATTGAAAAACTTTGTCAATCTTCAGACGAGTACTCTTGTTGCAAAAGTCTAATGATGGTTAGAAAAAACTTTGGCCGCGATCGAGAAGAATTTTGGCGACGGTCGAGAAGAACTTTTGGCAGTGGTCAATAAGAACTTTGGCGATGACCGAAAAGAACTTTGATGGTGATCGGGAAAAACTCTGACGGTGGTCGAGAAGAATTATGGTTGTGGTCGATGACAAGATAACTCTCCAAATCTTCTCTACCTTCTCATTTCTTTCTTGTCTTCCTTCCCTTATGTAAAAAATGATGGCCTATTTATAATTTTTTGGGATTGACATGACATATAAATATGGAGAATATCAATGTTAAGTTGGCAGTGTAGGATGGATGGTCAATATTAACTCCTTCGATCATCGACCGTTGATTAAGCATTTAAGTATATTAATGATGTCAAAATTTATAATATGGGGCTCATTGGATTCGTTTTGTCAAGCCAAGATTCGTCTTGTCAATCCGCTCGATTCGACTAAAAGCATGTCATATTTCATGATCATTTAGTTATCCAATTAAAACTTTGAAGCCTCCAAATACGATTTGGACCTTTAATTTGGGCTCATATTGGATTGATTTTGGTGTTGTTGGGTTTGTTTTTTCGAGATGTTATTTCGACTATAAGTTTGTTAAATCAGAGTTTGGATGATTCCTATTTTAATTTTGAAAGTTTTTTGTATGAATATGCCTCGAGATTTGTGTCTGGTCAACATATTTTTTGTGATATATCACTAGACATTATGCCATTAAAATAATGAGAAGTAGCAACACTTCATTGGATATGGATGCTAGAGTTAGGCACAAGAGTACTTACACATAATAGTCTTTTTTTTTTTTTTTTGCTCAAGGAATCAACTACAATAATTTAAAATTGAACACCAAATATGAAATAGAAGAAATTGTCATTCAACACCATGCTTAAGCACTATGTAATGTGTCATACATTTAGCACATGACATGCAATAGATACACCTTTGATATATATTGGACATGTCATTCATGTGTCATATTAAAATAATTATTAAAAAAAAAATCTAACATGTACATACCCGACATTTCCTACACATATGTCTTTGAATAACTAAGTTCAAAAACTTAACTTGCTGATTGTTCGCCTCCTATGTTGATTTTCTTCTATTGCTTTCTCTTGATGTGAGCTATAGAAAGCTCATTTTTTGATGATTTTATTTAATATTTAACCTTGAGAGATCATTATTAAAATATCAAACATTGTTGTTACATTAAAACCATCCCCTTCAACATTTCCTTCAAATTTAACTTAGATTTTAGAAGTAAATAGGTAAAATAGTTTTTAAAAATCAATGCATTTAATAATTTATAATATTTTTTATTCTAATTTTTTAGATTTTATTAACTTTCATTTAGGCTTTGTTTGGACATATTAAAACTTTTTTTTTTTGTTTTTTCTTTTAAAGGTTTTTTCTTATCCACAATTTAAAAAATATTTTTTCAAAAAAAGAAAAGCAAAAAATTGAAATAGCAATGAAAAATTCATCTTCCAAACACATTATTTTCTTATTAATTACTTTTCTTACCACAAAAACAGTAAATTGTTCCATACAAAAGCATAGTATCACAGTTGAATGGATGACTCTCTTTCTATTTCATTTTGCTTTGCATATTATACATTTATTTTTATAAAGAATTAGAGGTAACTTAACTAATATATGTATTGAAAAATATTTAATTAAATTATGCTTTGTATTTTGATAATGGATGGTGACTAATGCATTGATTTTACTATGGTTAGCAAAAAACTTATGAATTCACTCAAATAATATTTTAAACCTTTATTTAAAAAAAAATCACAATCATTCATTTAAAAAATAATTATAAATTCTTTATGATTATATCATTGTAATCCAAACTAATTAAGGCTTTGTTTGGGATGACTTTCTTACTGCTTTTTAAAGCAACTTTCTAGTATAAAAAATTTATTTGTTGTACTACAAAGTCGCTTTAAGAAGCAATAAGAAAGTCATCTCAAACAAAGCCTAAATGCCATGCAAATGGATGACTTTTGTTATTTGGTTAGGCCTTATCACTTTTTTCATGCTTCTCGAAACCTACGTCGATTTAGAAGCATGCTGGAATATTGAACAAATTTCAATGAACATCCAAGAGATGGCTGGTAAGCTTTGTAACTAAAAAGCAATTATGGGGTCTCAATGATTCATATTTGGGTCAATTGTTTATTGTCTTTCTTTGTTGAAATCAATATGCTAATTAGCTACTAAGGTTGAAATTTTGTTCAACTTTTACGCATAATCATTTAGTTGATGATCATTTTCTAATACTTGGGTTTTTTTGTTTGCATTCAACTTGAAAACTATCGTTGTTTGACAGCGTAAACATTCATCCTTATTAGGCCACTGATCTTAATTATCCAAAGGGTGCAGCTAGAGGGAATAATCACTCAAAGTAGTGATTGCATAGAGGAAGTCTTGCCCTAATGTGCAGTTGGTAGTACCAACCTATGAGTAGTGGAACTCGCAGCATACGAGCTCAACCCCATTGGATCAAATCGAGGAAGCATTCATTCTCAATAAGTTTGTTCAGATAACCCATCTAAACAAGCTTTCATCCACAAGGAGCAATTGCCCTGGAGGATTTTCTCCCCTTAACAATTATCCTCAATTATTACTATCCACCTTCAATGGTTGGCCCAATCAAAGTTGTTGGACATACACACCTACAAAAGCCCATGATTGTGACTTTATCAACTATGCTTATCCTTGACTCGCGATCATAATTTGTATGAGAACTTGCCCCTCATACTAAAGGAATTGACACTCAACTCTAAGGACTTGTCTTTAAAGACTCACCCCGGATGCTCTATCGGTTTCTCCTGAAGGTTTGCTCAACGCATTCACCCTCGTAGACTTGGCTAAGATACTTGTTAGGGGCTCCCTAAAGCCATGTTAGGAGCAAGTCACATTAGAGACAAAGGGCCATGCATGCAACCTTCAACTTAGTTTACGTGTCTATGTTAGTCTATTATCTTTTTTTATGTTTAATCTTCCATATAGCCCTCTTAATCCTATAAATAAGGGGTTAAGAGGTATATTTTGCTCATAAAGATTTAAAGCTTCTCAGTTACTCTCTATACTTATTAATTTCCCTCACACATTTGTCTCATCTAACATTATAAATCATGCTAGTAAGTTAAGTGCTCATGAATAAATTTGGATCCAGCAATTTCTTGTTGTAGGATGATATAATAAACTAAAAAAATAGATTGAGCCCCCTAAGGCTACATTTAACACTTATGAGATTTGGATCGAATGGTGAGAAGTCAAAGATATTAACTAGACCTATACAAAGATCAAAAGTTAGTGAGAGATATTACTATCAAGAATGAGTTAAATCTTATAAACCTATCGGGTGGCTAGGCATTTTAGGCGGTTGTTTGGCTACAAGTAGAATTTACTAAAGTATGATAGTGAATTCTATAATTAAGGTTTCAAAAAACAAGCAATTATATATCTTAACATTTATTTTGCATGATAGATGTTAAATCCTATTAAATCATGGTGAACTATTTTGATAAAGATTAAGATTTTGTTTGAAACGACTTTTTTACTGCTTCTTAAAGTAGCTTTATAGTACCAAAAAATAATTTTTTCACTAAAAAATTGTTTTAAGAAATAATAAAAAAGTTGTTCCAAACGAAACCTAAGTCGAAGAGATTAAGGCTTCGTTTGGTCTTCTTAAAGCAGCTTTCTAGTACAAAAGCCGTCCCAAACGAAGTCTAAATTTAAAAATAGAATTTAATAAGGAGAACTACATACATAATATCAAAATCTTAATAATTTACAAAACTACCACCCATGTTTTTTAGTTTTTTAACTATAGAAGTTGTGCATTTGCACATGCTACAATCAAATTATTTAAAATTTGACGAAAATGAAAAATATTGGGTTATAATTTTATTGTGAATTTTGATATTTGAATATCAATTTAAAAAATGAAGGTAGGTGAATGATAATTTTAAAAATAATTAAAATTTATATGGTATGTCTATAATTAGCTACGCATAATGCTAAATAATTGAGAAGATTAATAATTAAAATTTAATATTAGAGGAATAAAATGAATGATTAAGAACTGATGATCGTAAGGTTAATGCATTGTGGGTAGTTTTATGCGTGGATTCGTCTTCCTTTTACCCGCATTTTACAAGTCCATATCTCCTCATGCCAAAACCCTAGTGATTTCTGCACGGAAACCGTCCGCCTCTCTCTCTCTCTCTCTGTAACACACTTGCAGAAGGTTTCTTGCATCTCAGCTTTCGGGATGGACGTGGACTCTGAATCAAACACTAGTAAACCTGTAGAGATGGACATGGAAGAATCGGGGGGAAGAGAGGTACATACTTTTCCTTGTGCTATTCTTCAGAAACTCACTTGAAAAACTCTCGTAATCGCTGATTCTGTGCTGTTTCAATTTCTCAAACTCGAAGGTCAAAGAAACTGATTTGTTGGATTCAATGGAAAAGATGAATCTTTCTGAGCCACTGGAGTCTTCTTCTTCTTCTAGCATTAGTTTCAAGAGGAAGCCTGTCATCATTATTGTTGTGGGAATGGCTGGTGAGTGGAAGCCTCTAACGATTTTGATCTTACTTTAAACTGTCTTTAGGTAATGGAAAGAGCATTTCTTATTCAGGGAGCGGGAAGACTACTTTTCTCCACAGACTTGTTTCTCACACTCAATCTTCCAATATACGAGGATATGTTGTTAATCTTGATCCAGCAGTCATGACTCTTCCATATGGTGCAAACATTGATATAAGAGATACTGTTCGCTACAAGGAAGTCATGAAGGAGTACAATCTCGGTCCTAATGGAGGAATTCTAACATCGCTCAATCTATTCTCCACTAGATTTAACGAGGTATTGAGGACACTTGATTACTGCTATATTTTATCTCTAATTTGTGGCAATCTTTGTTGAGTCTGTGGTGGTGGTAGTAGTAGTGAACTAGTAAAGATTTCTTTGTTGCTTAGGTTGTATCCCTGATTGAGCGGCGTGCGGATCAACTTGATTATGTTTTGGTGGACACCCCTGGGCAAATTGAGATATTTACCTGGTCGGCTTCAGGAGCTATAATCACAGAAGCTTTTGCTTCTACCTTTCCCACGATCATAGCATATGTGGTTGATACTCCACGCTCTTCTAATCCTGTTACTTTTATGAGTAACATGCTCTATGCGTGCAGCATTCTGTATAAAACAAGGTTGCCTTTGGTCTTGACATTTAACAAGGTTGATGTAAGCAAGCATGAATTTGCTCTGGAGGTATCTTTTGCTTCACTGAAAGAAAGTTAAATGCATATATATTGACTTTCTTGTTTTTTTTTTCCAATAATTATGTATTTAGTTATTTGCACTCCATGCGATAGCCTCATTTATAGGTTTCTTAAATCGTATAAATACTGAGAACCTAGTTTGTTTCCCCTTGCTTCTGTCATGGAAGATATTGTAGGGCATGGTTCCATCGAACTCTCTCCTACTATTTGCGACGCTAAAATACAAGATGTTCCATAATGCTGGTTTTAAGTGGATTATAGAAACATTATTTAACAATTCATGGACTTGGTGCCCTAGGAGTTACTTTTGTATGAGTAAAAAACAGAGCAAACCTACTATTTTCATGTGAAATATTTAAGATTGTCTCATATTTATCAGAAATATATAGATGGCTGTTTGGTTTGTTAGCATCCATGGTATTATAGACTATGATTAAAAAAAAGTTCACCGAGAGATTGTTTGTTTTGTTGCAAAGAAATACATAGTCAAATAGAATATAATGTAAAACAAATGCAAATGATTATTATTTTTTATTTGATTTAGAGGCAGTTTGTTTTATTGTAAAGTGAATGCAGTGTAAAATAAATGCAGTATAGAGTAAATACTTTGGACTGTTTGGTTGTATGTAAAGTAAATGCTGGAGAATTATTTTTTCTATTTGATTGTGTGTGTACAAAGTAAAATAAAATCAGTTGAAGGGCACTATTGCGACATTCCCACAAACACTTGGCGTGCAAAAACCTATATCAATGTAGTCTTGGATGGTGGAATTAGGGAATTCTACACACCTGTTTGCTTTAGTTTGGATCGATTGCTTAAACAAATAAAAAACTAATCATCACAATTGCTCAAAGACAAATCAATTTTCCCACATGGAATGTTCCAGTTCGTATTGCAAACCTGCATGTCCGCATCGACGGGATGTTCAAGCAAGGAGTCCCGAACTTGTTCGTAACTTTCGCTCCGGTTCCGTCCACATGCAGAGAAGTGCGGGAAAGCAGATCCGATATGACATAACGTTGTCGACGGAGGCGAAGGAGCTGCGGCTCGTTTAAAGTCTACCTCACACAAAGCAGGCAAAGTCGAACACCAACAAAGAAAAACAGAAGCGAGCGACCGTGCCTTCCGATCCGACAGGAAGGGAGCATCATCCAAGCGAGCTATTCTGAATGTAATGCCTTCCAGTTCGAGAGGAAGGGAACATCGTCGAAGCGAGGGACCGCGATCCGAACAACAAGGAAGTCAAAACGAGCTCTTCCATGCTTTCCCGCGAGCTTCTCTGTCCTTGGCGCGCGATGATTTCCTTTTTAGCTCAAAACGAGCGATTTTACTTTACATGGAAATTGTATTGTTGTGGGGAATTCGTAATACACCGGGATTTCACTTTACTTTGCATTTTGTCAAACCAAACATCAAAAAGTAAAAAAAAAAAAAACAATGTATTTCTTTAATACTGCATTCCTTTGTTCCTTTAACCAATTAGCTCCTTAAAGTAAAATGAATGCAGTGTAAAATTCAATAATGGTGTTGGCTAGTGGTTGGTGGCCAGCTATTGTGGGGGGTGAGCGTAAATTGTGATACCAGAGTTAGCTTGCAATGTACTTGGAATATGATTTTAAATGGACGAGTTTTGAATGTACAAAAAGTGAACTATATTTTGAATTTGGAATTCACTAAAATTTTACTGGCATTCCTTTTTTTTTTTCATACTAAACGCCAAAATTTTTAGAACTTCTGTAGTTGTAATACTTTACACTTACTTTTTATTAAACCAAATAGCCCCTAAACTTTTTGGTATTTGAAATCTTAAGCAGTACACATTTCTTGGCTGCATGCAAAGTCAAACATTTTTATAAATGAGAAGGAAGAGCAAATCCATAGATGGAAGTTTTTTTAGAAGAAGCCTTAAGCGAATTTTAATTTAAGATATTGTTAGTGGAATTTTAAAAAAGAAATCATTTGGAAGAGCATAACAAGCAAAATAATTAGATAAAAAGATTGATCCAAAAAGGTAAAATAGGGTTAACTTTGAAGAAGTTGTTTAAATTTAAAATTTTAGGTTTATATGAGATACCAATTGAGATTCAGAGAGTTATGGGGGATAATGTTGTAGCTTGATTAACAGATTTATTTAATATAATTATGAAAACAAAGTGGATGCAAAGTAATAGAAGATACATTTTTGTATCGATATTTAGATTATGAAGGCTTACAGGTAAATTCATTTAAATTGCAATTTGGCTGAGTATGCATGTTGTACGGATTTAAATGTTGGGAAATAGGAAAAATTGTTTATGGCTAAGTTGAGCTTGATGGCAATGAGAATGTTAAAATGGATGTGTTGCATAATTGGGAATGATGAATTACTGAATGTTTATAATATAGTGAATTGATGGCTTGAGTGTCATCTATTGAAGAAAAATATAGTTGAAAATAGATATAGATAGTTTAGGCATGTCTAACAAAATGTAGAACATACATCAATAGCTTGATAGATAAAAATGGAAAAATAAGATTCATTAATCCAAACACAATTAGCTGGAATAAGGAGAATGATGGCGATGATTGAGCCAAGTGTAATTGTTATTTTCTTCACTATTTATAGCTGTAGAATATAGATTTCTAGTCAGGGAGACCTTTGTCTTTTGGCTACATGTACACTGACTGGGCTCCCTAGTTAACAGATAGAACTTGCAAGTTTGATTCTTTCAAATGCTGTATTATCTATGCTTATGCTTGACTATGATACATAACGCAAAAAATTATGGAAAAACAGTGGATGGAAGACTTCGAGGCATTTCAGGCTGCTTTGGATTCTGATACTTCATACACTTCAACTTTAACGAGAAGCTTATCTCTTGTACTCGATGAGTTCTACAAAAATCTTCGATCAGTGGGAGTTTCAGCAGTCTCTGGTGCTGGAATGGATACCTTCTTTAAGGCAATTGAAGCCAGTTCTAAAGATTACATGGAGAATTACAAGTATTGAGAGTCTTTATATATTTATATGAGAAAATTATATTTTTATTTCTCTCCAGGAAATAAATGAATGATCTCTGATGTACTCTTTTTTTTTTTCCTAATTTTTCAGGGTTGATCTTGACAACAGGATAGCAGAGAAGGATAAGTTGGAAGAAGAACGTAGACTGTTAAACATGGAAAAGCTAAAAAATGATATGGAAAAAACCAAAGGGCAGACTGTGGTGATGAGTACTGGGTTGAAGAACAAGGAATCTGGCAAGAAGAAGATTGACGAAGAGGAAGATGAAGAAGAGGACGAGGAAGAAGAGTACGAGGATGTAAAATTATTCTCTGAAGATGAATATGAAGAGGAATATGAAGAGGATGAAGGAGAGGATGAAGAGCTTGCTCATTTTGCTTTCTAAAGGTGTGATTGTTTTATCTTTATTCAATTTATACAATATGCTTTTTCCGCTGAATCATTCCAACAAAATTATCTCTCCCCATGGTATAAATGTCTCTTACCCTGCGATCTGCAAGTTCAAACCATCACTCAATCCCACTTCTGAAGTCCCCTTCCATTGATTCAATTCTCTGTTTAATACTTTTTTAATTTCCAAAAGGCTCATAATTTAGCTTCATCATCATTGACTGGGAATAGCATACAATGTACTGATTTTAGCATCTCATATACTTGGGCTTTGTTTGAGACGGTTTTCTCACTGCTTTAAAAAGCAGCTTTTAATTTTTTGTGCTAAAAAGCTGCTTTAAGAAGCAGTAAGAAAGTCGTCCTAAACGAAGACTTAATTACTGATTCATGTTGAAATGAAGTAATGTGATTTTACCCGTTGCAGGTTCCAGCTTGACACAGTATGCAAGTGCTCTGATCGAAACTCCTGTATATTGGTTCCATAGAGATTGAAGCTCCTCTGCTCCTGTACATCTCGAATCCTAGAAAACTCTTTGAGGCTTCTTGGAACGCAGCGCTTTGGAACTGCTTTCTATCCGTAACCTGATCGCTTTACCTAAGAGCTTGTAATTCATGAGATTTACTTTGGTAAACTGGTACATTTTTTATCTTTCTGGGCACTGACATTTGTTAAATATTGTTAACCATTTTATTACTGGGACAAGTTTTGATTTGAGGTTATGAGAAAGCTATCCCAAACGAAACTTAAGTGATGTGCTTAAAGGACTATGGTATCCCAAACAAAACCTAAGTGATGTGCTTAAAGGACTATGGTTTTGTTTGGGATAGCTTTCTCACTGCTTTTTAAAGTAGATTTCTAGTACAAAATTTAAAATTTTGTACTAGAAAGCTGCTTTAAGAAGCATCAAGAAAGCTGTCCCAAACAAAGTTATGTATTGTATAATTATGACCTTATATTGTATCTAAATGTGAATCTTGTCTCCATTATTTATTCTAGAGCGGAAGTGGGAAAATATCACTAAAAAATTTATAAATTTTGCTATGGAATTTTTTAGTTCTAGTAAGAGAAATGATACTATAAAATTTGGATAAGAAATAAGAAAATTGTGTTTATAATATTAAGAGATGGTAAAAAAATATATATTTGGAAACTTGGATTACTTTTTAAGTATGAATGCAAGTTTAATTATAATTATAAGGATTATTAATTAGTTATTAATGATAAATAAAAATAAATTAATAAATTAATTTTCTTATTACAACCTAATTTTCATGATTAATGCACAACTAAAGAAGTAATAGTAACATGGCTTAGTGGCAAGCGATGAGACAAGGAAAATGAAACATAGGGAGTTCTTGAAATATTTTAAAAAAATTTTCTAAGTTTTTAACTTTTGAATTCGAATTTATAAGAAAATTTCTAAAGATCTTTTTTGAATTCGAATTTATAAGAAAATTTCTAAAGATCTTTATGGCAATTATATGATATTATTAAAGAATTTCATGATGTCTAACAATAGATGTTAGTGGAGAATAAAACTAATTTTATGATAAATTATAATATTGAGAATATTCTCTAATTGATGGCTAATCATATTACTTAAGAATTTTCATAAAACATGCATGTTTTATTACATGTTTATTATGTAATAAATAAGAAATTCAAATGTAAAAATTCCATGTATATGATAAGCTATGTCATGCATAATCATACATGCTAAAGGTGTATGAAAATAATTATGTATGTTTTTAAATATATATTCATGATATATCATCAAAATATTATCTTGATCGGGCATGAGTCTCAAGGCAAAATCAAGTTGGAAACTTCCTAAATCCAATTAGGGACCAATGGACCCTTTAAGCTCTGATTTTAGCAAACTTATAGTCGAACTGAATGTCTCGGAATTACGAACCTAAAAACATCAAATTCGACTCAATCCAAGCCCAAATTCGACACAAATTTTATTTTATTTTTCTTTTACGATATATCATATTATCATGAATATTAAGATTTATTAAATTTACCTAATATAGATGTTAGAGTGAGGAGAACATATATTGAATGATTATGAAATTTATATATAATAATAAAAGCTAGAATCAAAGTTCTCCACACTTAACGTATATCAATTTGATGTAATTCATTATTACACATGAGTTGTGTTAGGTTTGTGCGTGTCATTTAAGCTCTGTTTGGGACAACTTTCTTAATGTTTTATTTTTCGGATCTCAATCATAATTTTTTTATTTGACTATTATTTTTTCATCGCTTTCAAAATATTTTTGTATTACAAAACTATTTTTTTACAATAGCCTTCAAAAAAGTTACTTTCCTCGAAATAATTTTATAATAAGCTTTAAAAAAGCTACAAACGTCCCAAATGAACCTATAGTATCCATGAATTCAACATGATGATTTGAATACTATAATGGAGTCCAAGCATCATTTGAGCATTCTTAGCCTCTGATTTTATCGTTCTAAAATAAAATTATACACTAATTTATTTCTTCTATATGACTTTAGTTAGTGTGATTCATAGAAAAATTTATTCTTAATTAGATATACAAAAATGTCTTATGTATGCCCATGATGTATAAATATATACATTATATACCTTTACAAACATCAAATTTTATATGTGTATGTATAAATGGACACACCTAAACACATGCGCTTTATATATATGTGTTTAATACACATATATGCACATTCAAGCTTCATTTTGGATAGCTTTTTTACTAGTTTGTTTTCTCAAATCGCAATCGCATTTTTTATTCGGTCAATATTATTTTGCTGTTTTTAAAAAAATTTGTACTGATATGCTACATTCTATAACAACTTTAATATATATATATACAATTATAATAAATATCTCATCTTTATTTTATTTTCAAAGCTTCACCAGTTGCTCAAACTAATAATGTATTTAATTTTAAATTTATTGGATTTATTTATTATGTTTTTTAATTACTAATATGATTCTGTCCATTTTTGTTGTATATTTATAAATGATTGTCAATTTCATAATATTTAAATATAATAAATATTTATTATATCATCTAAATCTGATTATTTAAATCAGATTGATTCATCGAATCTTTAACTTCTTCTTCTTCTGATCCCTTATCCGATTCAATTTTCAAAGCCTTATCCCAACCCTTCTAAATCACACCTCATTTGGAATTCATAACCCTTTTCATTGGCGGTTTAATTTGCTTGCGCTTTAGCGTTATGTCAGTCATGCTATTAAAAGGCAGGACGCTTAACACTCTCAACCACAGTCCCCTAAATATATCTTTCTTTTACTACATCTGCATTCTCTTGTTCTTCCCGTCTCCAACAACGAGGCTTCGAAGCTCGACGAGGCAAAGCATAAAGCATAAATCCTAATTCTCACATCTCCTTAATCTACCCGCGTCTAGCATTTCCGGCAATGGCCCACGAAGAGCTTCCCGTCCCGACCTTCTCCTCACTTGAACCTGTGTACGGAGAGGGTTCGCCGCTGGAGGAGGCGCAACTGCGGTTCCAGTGGATCAAGGCCAAGTTCGTCGAGGTTTTTGGCAAGGAACCGGATGTTTATGCCCGATCTCCCGGTTCGTATGATCTATATTAATTGTAATTGGAGGAAATTAGGGAACTTGATGGGTTGTGATGGTGGTGTTGGATGCAGGGCGGGTGAATTTGATCGGAGAGCACATCGATTACGAGGGATATTCGGTGTTGCCAATGGCGATTCGGCAGGACACGATTGTAGCTATCAGGAAGGCGAGTGCTGGGGAGCCCAAGGTGCTTAGGATTGCGAATGTGAATGAAAAGTATAGTTTGTGTACTTATTCCGCCGATCCGGATCAGGTATTATCAGCTCTTATATTATTTTCTTGCCGATTTTCTCTTTGCTTTTTTGTTTTTTTTATTTCTTTTGCTTGAATTTATAGGGCAGATGGTGATATTATTATACACTGGTGATTGATATCTGATTGAATTTCTGTAGGGTGTCACATTCTCTGTTTTACATGGTGGTTTTCTTTTTTGTAAGTATAATATGAATGCAGAAATTCATTCTATGCAGGAAGTCGACTTGAAGAACCACAAATGGGGGCATTATTTCTTTTGTGGGTAAGCTATGCTTTTTCATTTATATCCAGTTTCTGTAGCATGCGTGAGATGATAGCAAAAACTTCGATATATGAAAATGTGAAAAAAATGTCTAATATTACTGCAATATATAGCATACGAGGAATCTCCACTCTTTCCTCTTTTTTCTCTTTCTTTTATCTTTTCTGAGGTGGCGATTCTCTCGATGGGAAAGAATAAAGTACTGATTGAATAAGTAGATGCGAGGTCTAGTCATTTCTTAATATGGAAAAATAAAAATAGTTCCCATCAAAAAGTGAAGCCTTTCTATGGACCTAAACTACCAACCTTCAATCTAGCAGAGTTTAGGCCACTATGTTAGATTATATTTATGGGCTGACATAAGATACTATTAGTCTATTTGTGTTTCCAACATGAGAATCAGGGGTGGAATCAGTCATAATTTTCATGGGGGGCAAACGTATAAATAACTGTTCGCATATATGTTGGGGGTCCAAGGGGGCAGTGCCCCCTGGCGGGGTTCGACCTGCCCGGTCAGGTCGGGGGGTCAAGGGGCAACGCCCCTGCTGGGGTTTCCGGGCTGCCTCCAGAATAAATTTTGATATACTATTTCTCTTTGTATTTGATTCATCATTCCCCAACAATAATACATCTACACAATGTATTTAATTATATTGGGGGCAATTGCCTAAAGACCATAGTATTTTTAACTTTTTTAGGGGGGGAAATTACCTTAAAACCCTTGTAATAAAGACTAAAATTATCTAAATAAGATTATAATGAAAAAAAAAAAATGTGGCTAAGGACTTCAAGCTATCTTTTATAACTACGGGTTTGTTTGGGATGGCTTTCTTAGTGCTTCTTAAAACAGCTTTTTAATACAAAAATTTCAAATTTTGTACTAAAAAGCTGTTTTAAGAAGCTTGAAGAAAGCCGTCTCAAACGAAGCCTACTTATGAATACTCTGATATTTCTTCAATTTAAGAATGATTGCTTTTAAATTGTTTTAATTGCACAATATGGCTTGCATTTTCTAGAAAAAGATGATATTTTTTTTAACCTAAGCACAAAAACTGGAGAAGTGCTTTCTAGGAATGAGCAATACTATCTGGGTGAAAAAAAATAAATAAATTCCCACATGCTCTGTTGATGATATTATACAAATGCTCTTTCTTGTTTTGCTGTATTCATGAATACATTGAATGCAAATATAATTTTTAAGTTCTTAGTCCTGAGTATTCTTCACCTATGCTTCATATCTTCAGATTTTATTGCTTGTTGATTCATGTTACTTGATATGTTTTGATGTTAGTGATGCATTATCTATTTATATTACTGCAGATATAAAGGCTTTTATGAGTATGCAAAATCAAAAGGGCTAGATGTTGGTGAACCTGTTGGACTTGATGTAATTGTAGATGGAACTGTTCCTACAGGTCATTGACTAGCGGAGCTGCTTCATTTCTTATAGTTTTTGACCAGCTTCCCAAATAATGAAGCATTCTTGTCAATAATTGTACTTATATGGTATACTATGATTCAGGTTCTGGACTATCAAGCTCTGCAGCCTTTGTTTGCTCATCAACAATTTCTATCATGGCTGCTTTTAATGTAAACATCCCAAAGGTAAATTTCGTTAGATACTGAAGTCCTTGTTTGTATATTCTTTGTATTGTCTGCTACGGCATGGCACACTGCAGATGATGCCAACCTAGTGCTTGGAGATATTTTAGACTTTCATGTATTCCACAAATCGTAAGAATATTTTTTTAATTGGAGCTATGTAGCTCTTTTTGTAATATTTCTATTCTGTGATATTTGTGTAGTTTTTTTTCTTGATGCGCTTTTACAAAATTGGCCTGTAGGAACAATCCTTTTTTGGTTCACTAAGACAAACTTCTTAGAAGGCATATATATACTTTCTCATCAAGGCTAAGACCCATGAGTGGTTGTAGATGAACTTTGTGATCTTCTTCGCCCTAGAAAGAGCGCTCTTGTGATGAGGTAAGTTACCAAGTTCCTCCAATATGAGATCGATACAATGTGCTGCGCAGGGGGTCCAATATAGGTGTGTCCTCTTCTCCATCAACATCTGACCAGCTGCTTTTATGCACTGGCATTGTCAGTCACCACTTGAACAACCAATTGCTCCCCAATCTCCTCAATAATCTCATCTAGTAAATTGAAAATGAATACAGCATTTTTAACCTCATATGAAGCTTCAACTGATCGTAAAAACATCGTGCCGTAGGGATTGTTGACAAGGATGTTAATCAAGCTTCTGCTCTTCATGTCAGACCATCCATCTGACATAATGGTAACACCAGTCTCAATCCATGTCCGTTTAATCTCATCAATGATTCGCTCTGTATTATGCAAACTCCTTTCAAAATCTTTTCGCAACTCGTATATGGATGGTGCTTCAACCCCTCTCCATACAACCCTACTGACCGCAGCATATTGAAGTAGGCAGGCGATGTCGCAACATTAAATGGTATGACATTCTAAAAAAAAAGCCTGTCAATATCCATGCAAACCTGGCGTTGACCCTCTCTGGTACCAGCCGCAGGCATCATCTCTGCTTGTCCTCTATCCTCTCCTGGATTAGTCATATACTGATCCATAGGACCCCATGCACCTCTATTATGTATAGTTGAGGAAGAGCCCTTTCCACTCTCACTCCCGAAGTAAGCACCATATTCGACTATTTCATCAAATTGCTCATGTTATAAGTCTTTTGCCATGGTATTTTTCTTCATTTAAGAAATAATTTCATCCTTCACATTGTCCGACACTTTTGCACACGGTGCTACGTTCTTATGAGAGCATGATAAGTGTTCCTTCATGTGGGTTACTCCGCCCTTCTCCACTTTCTCACAAAAATTGTATTTTAAATACACATACGTCTTCTCGCCGCCTCCAACATCAACTTGTACACCGTATTTCCAAGAAGGGTCACGCCGCAATGCTGTATTTGTCTTTTTCTTTCATCTAACCATGTTTCCTAATGCACAAATGCTAAAACATACAAAAAATCTCAAAAAAATTGAAAACCCTAGATTTTCTATAACTTGAAAAATCTTTTCTTGAACTTAAAAAAAAAACCTAAAACCTATAATGAGGTGGCGCCGGCAAGAGAGGCGGCAGACAGCAAAACGAGCGGAGCCCGTGCGGAACTTCTGCGAACGGAGCAGCTGCATTGTGGGAGGATTTTTTTCGGTTCACTAGAGCCGAATGGTATATCAGGAGAAACAAGTTATTTTAAGTAGATGAGACCTGGTTTAAAGAGGCATACGCCTCACATGATATTGTGCAATAGCGCCTTAGAGGCGCGCCTCTTGACCCGTGAGGTGTACGCCTCACCTGGAGCCAGAATTGCGTGGGCTTTAAGCGCTTGAGGGCTGAATTGCGCAAAGGCGCGCCTCTAATTGCGCAATTTTAAATAGAGATATGGAGTTCTATACTCATTTTGTGGAAATATAGCTTAAGAAAGAGAACCCTTAACTGTATAATTTTTGTTTCAACAATGGTAGATTATTTAATCTATATGTTACTTAGTCAATTGTATTTTTCTGTTTTTTCTTTGATGTGATTAGCGTGGAAATATAGCTTACCATCTATTACTTTTCTTATTTTCTAGAAAGAAGTTGCTCAGCTTACATGTGTATGCGAGCGCCACATTGGAACACAATCCGGAGGAATGGACCAGGTAAAAGTCCCCTCTTTGATTTGTGAATTTCTTCTTAGTTTTTAAGTGGCAAATCTTTTTTTCTTGGTTGTTGATGTCTTCATAAAATTGGTTTGTCTATTTTATGTATTAGTCTAAATTGGAAAGGCCTGGGGTTTACTCAGACAAAGGTTGACATTATATGCCATTCTAGTGATTTTCCAATCGATGATTATTTATTAGTAATGTTGGAAGATTAAGTGACACCTAGATGATAATTTTAATTAGACCTTTGATCTATCATTCATAAGAATGAGGTAAAAAATGAGGTATTAACTTTTAGAGTTAAAACCTTAGGAGAACTTGGGCTAAGAGAATAGTATAGATAACATAAAAAATGTTATAAATTTACAATTATGCTCGATATGCTCCTGGATCTAAGTTTTGGGCAACAAAACAATCATAATTAGATTAGAGAGACAATGGAAGCAGCAATTGATGAAGATATGATAAAAAAAATCAAGTGATTGTGGATTAGAAATGGAGGGAACATTTTGCACGAATAAGACATGCAGATAGAACTTGTGAAAATGTAGAAGGAAAATGAATCCTTTAATTTTAACATGGTGAAAGTTGTGCAAAAAGATTGTGTAAATTAAATTTAAGACTGACTACAAAATTCCGTAGGATTATATAGAGAAGTAGGATTCATAAGGTTGTCATTAATATTTGGGATAAGGCTTCTTTTAATGCTGATGATATGTTTATGATGCTTTAATTAAGTTCCTTGATACTAATCATGCATATGCATTTTTCTTAGTTTTTCGTGTATCATCTTCTTACATTTGCTTTTTCCTTTAAATTCATTGAGGTTTTTCGTACCAGGAATTCTGCATTTGTAGTTTAATCTATATTACTTGCACAAACAATCACATCTGTTCTGATTATATGAATGTTGACTCAAAATCGAGAGAGGGAGGCAGAAGAGGGACTGAGAGTGATAGATAGAGATGGGGAGGTGGAGGGGGAGGGGGAGGGGGAGTGATTGATGGGGGAAGGATGGTTGGATAGAGGAAGAGCAATGATGCCAAATTTATGAGCTTGTAATAGAGGACTTTTCAGTTTAACTCGAAAGTATATTCTTTTTTCTCATTCTAGCACACATTTCTTCAATAATTAGTTTGAAAATGTACAAAGTTTGACTTTCTAAAAGCTCTTTGTGAGTTCTTGAGGAAGTGGCGTTAGTAGATCTCTTTGTGAGTTCTATTGGAGGTGTTGCTCAAGGAGTCAAGGTTTGTAGATCCGGATTTTTCTTTTCCCCTAAATCCAATTTATTTCTACTCTACCTCACCAAAACTCTTTTCCTCCCAAATTTCCTTCCATCGGCCCCCATAAGTCCACCACTGGCCACCCCCGACCAATCCCGCCAGTTTAGCATTGCTAGGTCACACCTGAGCGGTAGTGCTCGCCAATTTTGGATGAGGTTGGAAGATCATAAAGAGTCTCGTGGTGAATACTCTACCTCCGATTGGAAAAACATGAGACAAGTACTTGGATTAAAATACCTTTCCCCTACTTATGGTCACACATCTTTTAGTAACATCAGGGTTGCTTCCCCACCCTATAGGTCCTCACCAAACCTTAATGGCCGACCCTCTATTGGGTCTTTTGTTGGATTGGTCCCATACGACTCTCCACTTGGGCTGATTCCTAGCCATCCCAGTCAACCTTGTCTGAACACGCGACCTCTCTGTGTGATGGATCCCGAGCCACCTCGCCACGTGAGTAACTTTACCACCTTTAAAATTAGTAATGATTATAAGGCTGCCCAATCTTTTGTATCTCCAATCTTTGACCCTGCAAGTGTAATTTTACCTAAAAGAAGCACGACAAAGAAGAACTTTCTTGAACCTGAGACTGAGTACACCCATTTCGTAGATGTTAATGATATTATTGATAATGAGGACTTCTTTGAGAAAGAAACTGAAGTGAGTGAATAAGACTCCCAACACGACTTAAACCCTGATCTAGGAAAGTTAGAACCTTTAAACGTTGACATCATAGCCCACCCTGATCCCAATCTTCTCAAGGATATCTCGTTGAAAAAGGCCTACCTGGATGATAGTAATTTGATTTCGAAGGGAGCTGATCTGACCGTGAACACATTGAAATTAACTTTGGAGGGTTCTGATTTAAACGTATATATTACTAAGAAGACTCCAAATAATTCTGATTTAATTTCGAATAATTCTGAGGGCGACGTGGACAATCTTGAGTTACAAGTGATTCGACTGAATTTTCTACATGATTTAAAACCTGGTTTAATTAACCCCGAATCCATTGATCTTAGGGTTATACCCAAATCTGATTCTATTGATGATAGTAATATGAGTTCGAAAGACAGTAATATGAGTCTGATAGTTTCTGAGCCTAATTTGAACAATGAGCCTCCTCGTATTTTATTGGAGTCTATTTTAGGAGTTGCCCCTTTAGAATTGCATTTGAAAGAGTGTGACTTTCGAGATTGGACTTATCTCACCACTCCTCGTATCGACTTTAATGTTAGAGAGTCTTAGCCCATACTTTCATGTCACCACTCTAACTGTTGTGCCCACTTCTGTTATGGTTACCCTATTCAATTTCTTGAGTCTCATACCTGATGGTGACTCTTTGGGTTATCCCATTATAACTGTGAGTCAGGACCCATCGTCTTATCTTGTTCCTGATTCATTAGTTTTGCCCGCAATGTTCTTGTCCTTCCCTGTTAAGGACCATCTCTCTCTTAGTTGGATGAATTTACTAGATGACCCCGTTGACCCTAGGAGACTACCTACGACCTTAACTGAAACTTCATATAGAAGTGCCCTGGTAGCTAAGGATGTCATCATTGCCCCCCTACACCAGTTCCCTTAGACCTGAACACTTTAGATCCCCTCATTTCGTGACTCTTCCACCTTTATTCTAGCTATCTGTTCGTGTGAGTTAGTATGTTGTGTGCGTAGGTGTTTTTGTAGTCTGTTGTCTTCCAAAATTTGTACCTATTTAAAACTTTTGTGGAACTCATGATTCTTGTCATTCATCATACATACCGGATCTCTTGCATCCACATTTGCATCGCATATTCAAGAATTGCAATTAGAAATTAATAAAAGAATTGAACATAGCAATGCTAACTATAAACTTAATGCGGACCTCAAGAAAATGTTTAAATAATTTGAAGTGGGAGACTCGGTGATGGTTCGGATTCGTCCGGAACGGTTCCCGCAAGGGACCGTCAAGAAGTTACATGCAAGAAGCGCATGACCTTTCAAAATTACATTCAAGATAAATAATAATGCTTATGTGCTAGACCTTCCCGAAGGCTTTAACATTAATCCTACATTTAATATTGAAGATCTTATAGCCTACGAAGGTCCAGAGTTTAACCCCACTAATCTATTACATATTGAGCCTTGTGTGACCCTGCCTGGTGAGATCCCCAGCCTACACCCCCACTACCCAACATTCCCACTATACCTACCGCGGAGAGGATTGACACAATACTTAACGATGAAATCATTTCCACTAAAGACGGTGATTGCTGAAGGTATCTAGTTCAATGGGCAGGAAAGCCGAAAACGGAGAACGCGTGGATAGACCGGATGAACTGCAGATATTGAACCCTGACCTATTGGAGTGGTACGAAGCTTCTAGAGACGCTTACTTGACGGGGTCGAGTTTTCTCCCACATGGGGAGAATGATGAGGACATCAGATTTCGACACTTGTACTATCGTCGAAGACGCATATCGACGGCTACGATCCATAGCCTTTATTTCTGATTTATGTTATATTTATTATCGCATTTTATTTTATTTCCTAGTTTACCCCTGTGGGTAAGTCGCTTATGTAGCCCAAAGGGCATTTGTGTCATGTAGCTTTGTTTCTATTTCAGCCTATTTAAAGAAGGCATCATGTATTGTAAGAGTTAGTTTTTGATGAATGAAATTTTCTCTTTTGATCTCTTCGTGAGTTCGTGACTTTCCAAGATATCTTTGTTAGTTTTTGAGGAAGTGGCGTTAGTAGATCACTTGTGAGTTCTATTGGAGGTGTTGCTCAAGGTTTGTAGATCCAGATTTTTCTTTTCCCCTAAACCCAATTTATTTCTACTCTACCTCATCAAAACTCTTTTCCTCCCAAATTTCCTTCCATCGGCCCCCATAAGTCCACCGCCGGCCACCCCCGGCCAATCCCGCCACCGGCGGCTCCGGCAGCATCCCCAACCGGCCGTCATCCCGCCGGCTCCAGGCGGCCGACTCCAAGCCACCAACATTGCCGCCGGCCCCTTGGATCCTCCCTCTTGTTTGAATTTCAAATCTCTTGATTTACTCACTTTCCTAATTAGTTTTTCTCCAATTATGAGAGTCAATTAAGAGGATTAAAGCCTATTTTGAAATTCAAATTTGTTTCCCTCTCATATTAAACCTATTTGGGGAAGTTACTTAAACATAATCAAATTTGAAATTAAAATTCAGATTTGATTAAGTTTTATTTACTTAAATGTGGGCCCCCACTTTCTTAACTCCTAAGCTTTTCTTTTCCCCCCATATGGTCGGCCTCTTAATGGGCTTTTCTCTCTCCCTAAATTAAATTAAAAGCTCCACCAAATCAACCCTAATTATCTCCACAATTAAAGCCCCTAGTCATTATTGGATTAATTTGAAATTTCAAATTAATCTCCCTCCAAAATCACTTGAAGCTGAAATTAATTTCAGTTTTCTAAATTCTTCCCTCTCCCCCTAGCTCACGGCTAAGCCCTCCTCTCTCCAAACCGCCACATCCATTTTTCTCATCCCATCATTGCTTGGACGAGTTCCACCAAGAGAAGATTCTCCTACCGCCAAATACATCCACACCGCAAGGACATCTCATAGTCATGAATGGCCGATCCGGAGCGTCACGGCTTTGCATACGATCATCAAGGCGACATTGATGTCATTCGATCGCCGTTCTTTGACGTCGGATTCGGCTTCGACCACACCGTCGAGGATTACTTGAACCGTA